AATTCCTCTCCTCTCAAACACTTCCTTCCATTCTTCCTTTCCTCTCCTGAGGACTCTAGTCTCCTCCCTTCCTTTCCCTTGATCTCTTTTCCCTCCGTCCTCCCCACATCAGTCTCCCTCAGCTTGGATCCACCTGACTGATCTGCCCCAGCTCTCCGCTCTAACATCTCCGCTCTAACGCCGTAGCCTCGGCCCGTTAACGGCCTGTATTGTGGTCCTGAGCGCTGCTGTCAGCCAGTTAAACGCTGTATGGCAGCGATTAGTCGAGACACGCCCGCTGCTTCTGTCAGGGACAGACGAGGTAATGAGCCGGAGGCCGACGCCTCTGAAAGTCGAAGCCCAGGTGATGCAAACACAGCAGGCTTCTCGGGTTTTGTAACGCGACTGCTTTTGAAGCTTCCCTCGAATGAAGTCGTTTCCTTCTGCTGAGGTCTGTCCGAGCTGCTGAGTCTTTCTCCCGTCCTGTGATTATTGACCCTGCTCACATCCAGCATGCGGATGTTTTTCACCGCGCGTCTGATGGTTGGCCCTGCTGTGGGATACCGCCTCAGCGATGCACAAACACTGAGTGTAATGGAGAGAAGTGACCACAGAAACGGTAATGAGTAAATCCTGCCTCAGCCGCGTGCACTCGTGGGTCCGTGTTATTCTCAGAGGAGAAAATTAATGGACTTTCAACATAATCACCTTTATCCGCTCCGTTTATCGCTTCCTTTTAGGCCGGGAAGTCTGTAGAGCAGCGGCAGTTATTTGTCTCTCTAATGACTCCAAGTCTCATCAATTTTCTTTTTACAAGTCAGAGCAATAATTTTACAAGCAAACAAGCTAAACACTCAGGCGAGCATCATTTACAGACCCCGCCTCTTTTCCAGGCACTTAGAAGCACTCTGGATGAAGAGTTTTGCCGCTGCGTGACGTAGCTTTCACAGCCAAATGTTTCTGAACCATCGCTCAGACACGTGTGTGACTCATGCTTCTTTCCTGCCCCGTAGGTCTGCTGCGATTGGAGGAGCTGGTCCGCCGCTTCCTCATCTCCAGGGAGACGCTGTCGGTGCGGATGCTGGACGACAGTCTGGACCCCACCCCCCTGCTGAAGGAGATACGTGATGACAAAGTGGCCACCATCATCATTGACGCCAACGCCTCCATCTCGTATCACATCCTCAGGAAGGTCAGCCGTTTGCATCAGCGCGCTCGCGCAGCTTCTTACTTTCAGTCAAAAGGAGTCGACGACTCGTCCGTGCGGTAGATTCATCATAGCTGCAGGTTTGAAACGGCGTATTTGATCCGTTTAAGAGAAAACTGCAACGAATAATCTCAGCCGGCTTTAGAGGAGCTAAAAAACATGTTTCCAAAATCGGCTCGTGTGAAGTCAGCAATAAATTCACGGACTTGGCAGCGATGCGCTCGCGGTGACATGAGCCAAAGCTTAATGGGAGCTGCAGTGCAAAATCACCACTGAGTACAGAAGTGCAGGTTAAACAAGAAGAACAACAGAGTTTTTAGGGTTTATGCTCAGGAGCGTGAGAGAAAAGGAGATTTGAGCCTAAAACACAGGAAATATGAAACCCTGCTAGCACGCCAACACGAATCATTTTACATAAACCACGATCACAGCACGACACGCCCACTTTGTGCATACAGAGCAGATCAGGACACGTCAGGTGGAAAAAGTTCTGCAGGTCAGACGCGACGCGTGTCCATCACACTGAGATCTGTCTGCCGCGCGGCGCCGTATCTGACTTCAGCTAGCTTTAGCGACTGCAGCTAATGTCCCAAACATGTGCAGACGTGTCCGCTGCAAATGCAGAGTGATCGTGCACAGCTGTATGATGTGGCACGCTAAAACATGGCAGCGTTTGAACGTGTTTTTAAAAGTCTGTGTGTAACTGGTTCCTGCTCTGCAAGCGTCTTCTTCCTCTCTGCTGTTTACTGGGAGGAACCTTCAGACACGCTGGGCTGGTTTTGTGCCAAACTGGCTGTGAACAGACTTTTAAGCCACGGGCTAAATCGACCTGCGTTTGGCAGGTTGCAGTTTCCCTCTCATAGCAGTAACCTTGGGGGGGGGGCAGGAAGTTTAAAATTCAAGACAAAATTACTGAGTAAACTCAGTCAGGACTTTTCAAGTTGG